GCGTCTCTCATTTTGAAAGTGATGCATCTATAAGAACTTTTTAGATTCCCTTATTTTAAGCATAGTGCTTAAAATTTTCTTTTGTTTTATCAGAAAACTGGTCAATACGGAAGATGATTAGGGCCACTGAAAAATAAAAAAAGTTAATTGATTTTTAAATATTTCAGTTTAATAAGTGAGAAAAGTTTGATGGCAAGTTTAATGTCAGAATTCTGACTTTAATCTCAGAATTTTGGATCTTAATCTTAAAGGGCAACCCGAGGGAAGAGATGTGGGAGCACCCAGCTTCACTAACAAAGATGTAAGTTGTTTGGGAGGAGCAGTAGCACATTGGTGGAAAATTATGGAATTAAGTGACTTTTTTTTGCCCGAGGGGTCCCCAGTGATGCTATTTCATTCATGTAAGAGCAGAAGGGGATTAAAACAAGAGATAGTTCAGTCTCTGGACATGGCTACAGCTTGATGCTAACATGTTTGTTAGCTGTCAGAATTCAGTCAGAATTCCGGGATTAAAGTTCCTAGAATTTCTAAAAGTAGAATGGGAGGCAGATCTTTTAGTTATCAGGAATCTGTTAGTTCAGTCTCTAACGTTCTGCTCTCTCTACCATTTCTCATAGTAGCTTTGCCTCATTTGTTCCTGTTTGGCTGTGACTCCATCCTGGAGGGAAATATCAGCTGTGATGCTGCCATCAACACCTTTGTTTATGGATGTTGGAGATCGGCCTGTTTTTCCAGTGTAGTCCTGTTTCTCTGACTGTGACTGGCTGGATGTGCTCTCTTCATTCTCTGACATGGGAGTTGGCTCAGAGCTCATCTGCCAGGCTGTGTGTTTCCTGGACGGAGCCGCCTTTTACAGTTGCTTTTTCTATCTCTGCTTCTGTCTCCTTGAACCCTGGTCAGCCTCGGCAGATGGCCGCTCACACTGAGCCTGGTTCTGCAGGAGGTTTCTTCCTGTTAAGAGGGAGTTTTTCCTCTCCACTGTCGCGCTTTTCTTAGATAGAAAACTTTGAATCAATTTGACTGTACAGTATGATCTGGTGAACTGTAAAGTGCCTTGAGATGACATGTGTTGTGAATTGGCGGTATATAAATAAAGTTAAAAAGTTGAATTGAAAGTCGGACTTCTGAGAAAAAAAGTCAGAATTCTGAGATTAAAGTCAGAATTCTGGGATTAAAATCAGAATTCTGAGATTAAAGTCAGAATTC